TTAAAATGTTTGTTTATGTTTGTTTTTGGTTGGGTTTTTTAGGGGTGGGGATTTTGGGTTGATTTTGTTGTTGTTATTGTTGTTGTTGTTGTTGTTGTTGCTATTGTTGTTGTTGTTGTTGCTCTTTGGTTGTTTGTTTGTTTTGTTTTGTTTTGTAAAAGTTTTACAGCGCTCGAAACTGCATATTAAGACCACAACATGAGTGCGCTGGACACAAGCTGGTTATATTCACGTTAGCTCACAGTACGGTCTACGTCATATCATTGAGGTGCGGGCTTAGACCAAATCCTGGCACGGGCCGAGTAATGTTTCTGTTGTTTGTTGTTTTCAAATCCCTTAAACTGCGAGCATTTCGCTCTTGGCAGCGCAATGCCTCCCTCAAGAAACCACTTGTCCTTGTCATCTGGTTAACGCCAGAGTACAGCAGGCTTTGTAAGTCTGTAGGTGTGTGTAGGAGCCTGTGTCGAAGAACTGTCAGCTTTGGGCAGTGAAGGAGAAGATGTTCAACTGTCTCCTCGTGGTAGTCACAGTGTCTGCAATGGCGTTCCCACATGGGATTAATTCTGTTTATGTACTTGTTGGTTTGTAAGTGTCCTGTAGGGGCTCTGGAGATCAATGTCTGATCGGCTCTACATAAGAAACGCGAAGGGTCTTTGGGTTTGGGTTTGTCCATGTACCCGGAGAGAGATCTTCCTGTTTCTGCGTTAGCCCATCTGTTTAGCCACTCGTCTCTGCTTCTGGTTTGGACGATCCCTCTGCAGGTCTGTAAAGAGGCGGGTGTCTGTCTGGGGCAGGCCTGGTCCAGTCTTTGATATCTGGTCTGCAGTTTCATTTCACGGGCCGAGTAAAGACATCATCAGTTTCATACAAAAAGTAATGGGTTCTCCTTTATGCACTGTAGATCTTGATGTCGTAATGCTGCAGACAGGAAACAGGCTAGTAAAAATAACCTTGATTCGTGTTCTTTTGAGGGTTTGTTAGTAATGGAAACATCCGCTATCAAAGGCTAACTTTGAAAAAGTTGGTGCGTCTTATCCGATTACCACACTTTTTAAATTATTATTAATAATAGTATTGTGTGATTCATAGCAACATTTTGGCTTTCCAGTCCACCCGTGTATTATGCGTGCATGCCTCCTATCATCATCATCATCATCATCATCATCATCATCATCATCATCCAGTGCCAAATCTGAGACAAACATCGGCGATCATGGTTCTCCATTCATTCCTTGGCTCGGATGCTCTCAAAAAGCTACGTTTCGGTGATCTTTCCCTGTGACCAATTTGTTTAGGTCCTTTAAGTAGGTTGTTCTGGGCCTACCCCTGCTGCCTCTTTTGCGTTCCATTTTGCCAGAGAGAGCCAGATGTTCAAGACCCTTATGTCTATTCAGGTGTCCCAAAAACTGCATTTGTGAGGCAGCGTGGTGGAATCAGGCTCTCGTCAAAATAATCAAAGTGAAGAAACTTACATTTTTCCGCAGGTTTGTGAATTTTCATCAAATTTAAGTTTTTTGGCTAAACATCTTTCATGCACATTAAAGAACTCATTTCTGTGTGGATTTTTCTGAAAAACGTTGAATAAAGTTTAAAAAAATGTAAATTATTAACTACCACGGACTCTTAAACTAAGGAAATAACTACTCTTTGGCAGCCACTTCCTCACTAATTTTACCTCTGAAAACAGGTGACCCCCACCTCCTTCATTCACAAATAAATCGACTTGTATTCAAGATAAATGGATATTTTTTTCAACCAAATAAAGACAAGTGAACAAGCTTTAAGATGATACCACTAGCTCTACATGCCCAAAAACTGACGAGAGCCTGATTCCACCACGCTGCCTCACATTTGTCGTTTCCTTCTGTACGTGTTGATGTACAGCATGGTCGTTTATTTGTACATTGTTTGCCGGCGTCTGTGGTGTGAGGGTTAGGTGTTTCGCTGTCGCATGCAGGAGATTCTCTCGGGCTTTCTGCTGGGATGTTGTGCCTCTTCAAGTAGGTTGTTCTGGGCCTACCCCTGCCTCTTTTGCTTTCAATTTTGCCAGAGAGAGCCAGATGTTCAAGACCCTTATGTCTATTCAGGTATCCCAAAAACTGCATTTGTCGTTTCCTCCTGTACGTGTTGATGTTTATTTCTATTGTTTGCCGGCGTCTGTAGTGTGAGGGTTAGGTGCTTCGCCGGAGCATGCAGGAGATTCTCTCGGGCTTTCTGCTGGGACGTTGTGTCTCTTCAGTTCGGGTCGGCCGTTACAGGCAGGGTCGGAAGCCCAACTTCTAAAAGATCTAAATGGGGTCGATGTGGGAAACGGTTTGG